GAGTCCACACCCTGCTGAGAGACCTCCCTGTTGGGGAGGTGTGGTGTTGTCTGCAAGGCAATGAGCTTCCAGTGTGGAGTCCCTGGAGGGAGGAGCAGGAGCCCATCAGGCTGCCTGCTGGGTCCTTTCACTGAACTCTTCATATTTTAAAATCAGATGATTGGTCTTTGGTGTCTGGTATCTTGAGTTATGTGATGTGTCACCTCCACTAGTCAGTCTACCCTGGGGAACTGCCAACACCTAGTTACTGAGGCCCAAAACTAAATGTTGAGGACTTCTTCAAAGCAACAGAGTCTCTTGGTGGTGCACAGGCCAGCATTTCCTGCAGGTGGTTGCTTTTGCCACATTCCCTTTCAACCCTCTCTCAGTGGCCCTTCCAGTCCCGAGATGCGGTGACTGGCAGCCATTCTGATGAGCCGCCGTGGCTGTGTTCTTTCCCTCACCTGGAAACAGCAGAGGTCCGATCTCTAAGAAAAGTAAAAGGGCCAATCCAAAAGTGATTCATCTTTGTAAACATTGGATTGTTTCTCTCTCTTTGATACTTAACTGAAAACTGTCTGCAAATTTTCTTGCAGATTTCTATGGTGACCGCTCCACGCTTAGCAGCCCCACGGAGCAAAAGGAACAGGAGGCAGCTCAAGCCATTTGTGCTAAAATAAGACATCTGGTCACAAGGCTGTGCCACTGGTGAGGGCTTTTTGGGAACCATCTGGCCCCCCATCCAACAGAACTGTCATAAGCCAGGTATTGTCAGGTACTGGTGATACTAAGAGGGTGCCTAAGCTGAAGTCTGCCTGGCAGTGACCTTGGGTGTCTGGGAGAATCATGGAACCAACCAATTCCTGTAAAAAAAGTCCCAAGATAACTATTCAGGGCTCAATAGCCATCAAAAATCTTTATTTTCAAGCAGCAACACTGAATATTGCGTTATCGAGGACAGTGATATGGATTGTTTATTGTCAAGTTGACCAGGACCCTTACTCTGAATTTTTAAAAAATTGTCAGTTTCAGTAAAAGAAAAGTATGGTGATGTTATATCAGGCAAGTGTTTTGGAAACAGGAGCTCAGAGGATACAAGGTGATATCCTGGGGAAACTTTATTTTTTTTTCGTTTTTTTTTTTAATAATAAATTTTATTTTTATATTCCCCATACAATTGCAACCCCCCCATTCTGACCCAAATCCCTCCCCTCCCGACACCCACCCCCCAAAAAGTGTCTCTGGTTCATAGTTTTTTGTTGATTTTGATTTTCACTTTCTTATAGTTATTCATTTTCCTGGTCCCTTATTTAAGTTTTCTAGATTCCTGCTATGAGTGAGACCATCTGGTATTTTTCTTTTTCTTTCTGGCTTATTTCGCTGAGCATGATCCCTTCCAGCGCCATCCATGTTGCTGCAAATTGCATGTGTTTATCTTTTTTGAATGCTGAGTAATATTCCATGGTGTATATGTACCACATCTTCTTGATCCAGTCATCTATTTTTGGGCATTTGGGTTGTTTCCAAAGCTTAGCTATTGTAAACAGTGCTGCTATAAACATAGGGGTGCAGGTGTTCTTTGGAATTGATGTTTCTGTGTCCTTTGGGTAAATACCTAGGAGTGGAATTGCTGGATCATATGGAAGCTCTATGTTTAGTAGGTCCAGAAATCTCCACACAGCTCTCCATAGTGGTTGGACCAGTTTGCACTCCCACCAACAGTGCAGAAGAGTTCCTTTTTCTCCACGCCCTCGCCAACATTTGTTGTTGCTAGTTTTTTTAATATGTGCCATTCTCACTGGTGTAAGATGGTATCTCATGGTAGTTTTGATTTGCATTTCCCTGATGACAAGTGATGTTGAACATTTTTTCATATGCCTGTTGGCCATTTGCATTTCCTCCTCAGAGAAGTTTCTTTTTAGCTCTTCTGCCCATTTTTTGATGGGATTATTTTCTTTGTTGTTGTTGAGTCACATCAGCTCTTTGCAGTTTTTTTTGTGATCAGTCCTTTGTCATTAGTGTTGTGTGCAAAAATGTTCTCTCCTGGGGAAACTTTAATAGAAGTTTCTCAAGTATACAGGATGGAGAAGTTGGGCTGGGGGTGGGGGGATATACTTAGATTTGTTAGGTTTGAAGGTGTTTGTCTCTGTCTCATGTGTCTGTTGCCATACAGCCATGTGCCTGTTATGCCCTCAGAGCTATTTGGTCCCCAAAGATTAGCTAACGGAAGTTAAGTATAGAATATTGGGAGTTTCTGATATTTTATTAAGGTGAAATATATTCATTGTCAGAAAGGCTGAAAAGGTGTATATTCCAGACCTTCCTTTTCTACTTAAAGGAAAGAGCATATGTTGAATGTTTTGATTGCAAGTCAGTCGTAACAGTTGTTGACCTTGCTACAACCTCAGGGACTAACAGATAACCTTATTTGAGCCTATAATCCAGAAACTTCATCTTTAAAAACTGAGCTAGGGGCCTCCCTGGTGGCGCAGGCAGTTGAGCGCAGCGCTGTGAGGCTGTCCGCAGCCTCTGCAGCCCGGGTTCAATCCCGGCCACATGGCGCGGCAGACCTTTCCTGTCTCGCCCGCTGCAGTATGTTTTGGTCGGTCTGCCTGTTCTGCTCCCCGCTCTGTCTCTGGTGAATCTTCTCACCCTCCCGCACATCTGGCCTGTGCCCTGGTTCTTGTTTACATGAATAAATAAATATTTAAAAAAAATAAAAACAAAAATTGAGCTAGGTTTTCAGTATTCTCCAACCAAAGTGAAAGTCTGATTTTATGCTATAACTGCTCTGAGATTACACTAGAAGAGAATAGAATGGTATTGTACCAGGGCAATCCCCAGGGAAAGGGGAGGTTCTGGGTTCCGTACCGCACCCTCAGGAGGAGTGGACCTGGGCAGGGAGGAGAGGACCTGGGCAGGGAGGAGAAGCTAGCAGAGACAGGGAGCAGGAAGGAAAGAGTTAGGGAAAGAGACCCGGAGGAGGCGCATGAAACAGAAAGACAGGTGAAGAAGCTGCGCTAGCTTCTCAGCCTTGGACTTTTACCAGGGACTTGGGGGAAGGAATTACTTGAAAGAGACAGAAATGTGGGTGAGAGACTCATGGGGAGGCTGATAGGGGCAACCTTTATCTTGACTTGCGTATTGATTTTGCTCTTTTCCTTCCAGACTTCCCTGGACCACTCTGCCCCTTTCTTATGGGTCCCCACCAGAAGTTTAGACTTGTGACAGGCTTACGAACCTCAGCAGTCCTGCTTTGGCCCAACCCTGTTTGGCTGGGCTTTTACCCTCCAGGGATGGGCAGTTTTGGGTATTTAATTGGAAAGTATGGGGGTCCCGGAGCCCTCCCCCTGCCCTAACAGTTATAAACTAACTGATCTAATTAATATGCTCCTGACCAATTCCCTTCCCAGTCTTTCCCCTCCAGCACCAAAAAAAAAAAAGACAAAATACTTAGCTTAACACTGGGTCATCAAGCAACCAACATTTCCTAATATGGACAGTTCACCCTCCAGCTGCACTTCTGGAATTCAAGTGCTAGGAGAATGGCATTTACATTTGTGTACGTTTTGTATAACTGCTTTGCTCCTCACTCCTCAAAGCTGTGAAATCTCTGTGGTGTTTGCTTTAACATGAATTATGGCATCTGCAGTGACCTGCAGTATAGAATTAGCCCTGACAAAATGCAATCTAATAGTTTGATATAAAGTTCAAATGAACTGTCATGAAATTTGAGGACTCTCCCCCTCAAAAATGAAGTTACCCCCAAAATTGTTATACCAGAAAGAGTGAAATCAATGCATTTCTACTGACATGGGAAGATGTCAGTGGTAAAATTTAAGGAGAAATTATCAAGTTTAAGAAAAGTGTGAAATAAATTCATTTTGAAAAAGAAAAACTTGGGCCTCCTTGTTGGTTCAAGGGGTTAAGTCTCAGCACTGAAGCTATCCAAAGTCACTGCAGCATGAGTTTGATCCCCGCCATGACCCACATGGCGCAGCAGACCTCTCCTGTCTCGTCTCTAGTGAATCCTCTCACCCACTGCACCTCTGGCCTACACCCCAGTTCTTGTATGCATAAATAAGTAAAATAAAAATCTTAAAAGAAAAGAAACTTGAAGGACCATTTCAACTTTTGAAAAACAGTTTACCAACTTAACAATAATTAGGAGACAGGTTCTTAACCTTAGGCTCAAATTTAATTTTTACTTTTTAGTAATTAAAATTATCAAGGGAAAAAAATTATCAAGGAAAATCTACAATACTTATTAGTTGATAGTTATATGCTAATACTTCACTTACATTATCACTTGATGCTCACATAATCCCCATTTTACAGATGCTTATGGGTGTTAAGTAACACACCAAAGGTTAAGTTACATGTAACAGGCAGAGCTGGGATTTGAACCTACAGTGTAATTCATGCTGTTAACCAGCATGCCAAATTCCTTTTCTCAGGATAAATATTTGACTTGCAGCCATTGGGTTCATTTTCCAATACACATTTTATAATAGTGAGTCACAGAGAATCAATATGATAGCATGTAGATTTGGGTTCTCAGAAAGTCATAATGCATCTTGAAAAATATAGAAAAAACACGTCATGACTTTTCCAACAACCCAATCATTTGGCTGAAAAAACTAAGCACAGTCCTAAATCAGAGAATAAGAGGTGATACTGGACATGAAGCTGAGCTGTACCTTGTAAAATTTGCAGGATACCCATTGAAAGAACTTAAAGAGGGGCCTCCCTGGTGGTGCAGGTGGTCGAACGCAGTGCTATGGAGCTGTCCGCAGCCTCTGCAGTGCCAGTTCGATCCCCAGTGGCCGCAGAGATACCCACATGGCGCAGCAGACCTCTCCTGCCGCGCCTGCTGCTCCCCTCAGCAGTGTACTTCGTCAGTCTGCCTGTTCTGCTCCCCGCTCTGGCTCTGATGAATCCTCTCACCCTCCCACACATCTGACCTGCACCCTGGTTCTTGTATAAATAAATAAATCTTTAAAAAAAGAAAAAGAAAAGAGATCCTTTTCTGGTTCATAAGCATGATGATTGGGTGTTTAAGCGGCTGTGTGACATGTGCCTCCCTTAAACCTTGTTACGATGTCGGCACATTACCCTTCTGACGTAAAATAAAAAAAAAGAGAAAAAGAAGAAGAAAAGAAAGAACTTAAACATAGAACACTAGCAAAAGACGAGAAGCCTAAATGTCCATCTCTAGAGAACCGATTAAATAGCCTGTGGTATATAAGCTATTAAAAAGCAACAAAGGGGCTTCCTGTTGGCACAGGGTTGTCTCAGCGCTATCAAGCTATCGCCAGGCACTGCAGCATGAGCGCGATCCCCGGCCAGGGAGGTGACCCACATGGCACAGCAGACCTCTCCTGTCTCTCCCGCTGCTCCCCTCAGCAGTGTATTTCAGTAGATCTGCCTGTTCTGCACCCCACTCTATCTCTGGTGAATCCTCTCCCCACCACACTTCTAGCCTGTACCCCAGTTCTTGTATGCATAAATAAATAAAAATAAGTCTTTAAAAAAAAAACAAACAAAAAAACAAAAAGCAACAAAGAAAAACATGAGGAAGTTTTGATGTGCTGATGTGGAACACTGCTGGAGAGATCAAATGAAAAAAAGCAAGGCTCATTACAGGGTGCTCAGCATGTTCCATTAATAATTACGCTTCAAAGGGTGTACATATATAATCATTATGTTGAACAAACATGACTCATGGGGCTTGTGAATCAGTTAATGGAGGCAAAAGTGCTGCAACAAGTAGATCTGAGACACCACTCAGCAAAATAACTTCTTCCTTGCTCACCTAAAGCCCTGGACAGATTCAGGTCAGTGAAGAAATGATGCCCCTCACCTTTGTGGCTCAGGGTCGTAGGCGCCTTCCACCCTGTGGTTCTGTATCCCCTCGGCCAGAAGGTAATACACACTGCAGCAGTCACGTTACTTTGGAGAAAACGTTGTCACATGATCACACCTAAAAGGGCAGGGCTTCTAGTCTTGTGCCTAAAGAGAATGGTTTTTGGCAGACAACAAGAATTCTCTGTCACAATCAGTTCTCGGGTCACCAAACATATCCTCCCCCAAAAGTCAATGACAGAAATATTCATCCAGTTTCTGAATTCCTAGCAAATATGCATCGCAATCTTATTGAAGTTGCTTGGATTTACTTACGGTTCAGCAACCTGTGAACTAAAAGCCGGTGGTTGCCACTTCATCATCACCCCCAAAAACCCACCCATGCAATATCTAGTGAGTGATAGAGCAGACAGGAAAACCTATACAAACTCCTTTTTGAAAAAGAGAATGGCAAACATGTAGCATTTATGTCCAACACAATGAGGGAATCCTGCTGGATGGCTGTCACCCTGGAGATGCCCTATCCTACCAGAGAGTGAAGTTCCCAGGTTAGACTCAATCTTGCTCTTTAGGAAACTTTCTCTTGTGATTGTTCTCATACTCTAGTTCTGGCCTCTGCCATGTTCACCCTTGGCCACTGTCCCTGGCCATCCCGAAGTGGGGCGTGTGTCCTCTTGGGGACCCTATAGCCCAGCTGGCTCACTTCCTGATGTATGTTTGGAGATGCAAACCTTGTTTATGGTTTTACGTATGGATTCAGGCCAGGATTCTGAGTTTTTGGCAATCCAGTCCCCTTAGAAACTTCAGATCTCTTTGTTTTAAAGCAGCTTCTGGTGCCAGCAATCATGCCTAAAGATTTTTTTTTTTTTTGAGACAGAAACAGCAACTTTCTTTTATTTCTTTTCTAAAGATTTATTTATTGGGCCTCCCCTGGTGGCGCAGGTGATTGAGCGCAGCCCTGTAAGGCTGTCCTCAGCCTCTGCAGCACTGGTTTGATCCTGGCCTCCCAGCCAGCTGGCCGGCAAGCATCCCACATGGCACGGCAGGCCTCTCCTGTCTCACCTGCTGCTCCCCTCAGCAGTGTATTTTGTCAGTCTGCCTGTTCTGTTCTCCGCTCTGTCTCTGGTGAATCCTCTCACCCTCCTGCACCTCTGGCCTTTACCCCGGTGTAAATGATTAAATAAATCTTTAAAAAAAATTTATCTATTTATGCATACAGGAACTAGGGTACAGGCCAGAGGTGCAGGGGGTGAGAGGATTCACCAGAGACAGAGTGGGGAGCAGAACAGGCAGACTGATTGAAACAGGAGAGGTCTGCTGCGCCGTTTGGGTAGCTTCCTGGCCGGGTGGGGATCACACTCTTCCTGCAGAGGCTGTGAATAGCGTCACAGTGCTGTGCTTAATCCCTTGCATCACCAGGGAGACCCCAACTTTCTTTTATTTGTCTACCTCATGCCTTTCCCAACTTCATGTCAGTAACGGTGGCCATCTGAAACAGTAGACTCAGGTGGAATAAAGTTTAAAGAAATTATTCTTCGAAATAGTGCTGAAATCCTCTGTTTAACGAGGTATTCTAGTGGACGTTTCTCAGTCTTTCCTGCTGCTGGGGCTCAACCACTGCTGTAGCCCTTCAGCGCCCCGGCTACAGGCCTCCCTTTTCATTTCTGCTTGAAACCAGTATGTACTTGCCTGAGTTTATCTTTAAGAATATCTTGTTAAACACAGCAAGGAACAATCAATAGACTTTAACACGGAGTCGTGGTTTCAGCACATCATGGAAATATTTTCTTTACCTCCTCAAGCATCCCTATTAAAAAGAGATACCAAATAAATGTTTTCCTTGACTGTCTTAGAAATAGCTGTCACTAAGTAGAGGTACACACCATAAAAAATAATTAAAGGAGACACTGTAAGCAGATCTTTGTACTTAGAAGCTGCTCAAATCTTTGTAAACAGTGACTTGCTTTTTTCTCCTGGATAAGTTGAACCTGCCTCTGCCAAAAAGCAGAGGGCCCACAGCACAGTAGCTAAGAAACTACTGGACTTGGTATCTCCTGCCACCCCTGTAGCATATTTCACCTTAGTTGTGTCAGGACAAAGGAACATATTTTACTGGGGCACTTACGCTTGAGTTATATAAAGTACTACCTCTCATACAACGTCTCACTGCCTCATTACTCTCCACTACCTAGAAAGTGCAGAGAACAAAAGGAATATTAAAACTTAAATTAACAAATTATTAGGCACTTGACTCCCATGCCCTTGAGCACTGAACTTGGTTTTTATGAACTTGGCTCCCATTTAGGCTAATAGATTGTCTCCATATGAATTGGTCACTGGCAGGCAGGCCCTGTGATTAGGAATTTATCCACCTAGCCTCAATGCTAATCTCTTAGAGGCAGAGCTGGGTAAGTGTTGGCCAGGATTAACCCAGAATAGTCAGTCTTACCCCCAACATACACGGCCGCTTTTTCTTGCTGGCTACCTAACTGGCTTCTAAATGATCCCAGACCAAGTGATTGGGTATTTTGGAAACATCAGAGAGACGTAAATCTTGTTTTTAAAAAAGAACTTATCGGGGCCTCCCTGGTGGCACAAGGGGTTAAGCACCGCACTATGAAACAGTCTGCAGCCTCTGCAGCACGAGTTCGATCCCTGGCTGGCCAGGGAGCTACCCACATGTTCAAGTTCATGCAATTAAAAGTTATTTTGTAATAATTTCAAACTTACAGAAAAGTTGTAAATTTAGTACAAGGAATTCTCCTATCCTGCCCCCAGGCTCCCCACATGTTAACATTTGCTACTTTTGCTTTATTATTCATTCTCTCTCCATGTATATATTATTACTTTATACTGTGAACCATTGAGAGTAATCTGCAGACACATCTCTTTATTTGAGTGTGTACTTCATAAATACAGGTATAGTCTCCTCTAACAGTACTGGAAATCAAATTCTAGAAGTTGTCATTGTGGGCCTCCCTGGTGGCGCAAGGGGTTAAGCACCGCACTGTGAAGAAATCGCAGCGAGTTCCATCCCCGCCGGCCAGAGAGCTACCCACATGGCACAGCAGACTTCTCCTGTCTCGCCCGCTGCTCCCCTCAGCAGTGTATTTCAGTCAGTCTGCCTGTTCTGTTCCCCACTCTGTCTCTGGTGAATCCTCTCACCCTCCCGCGCCTTGGCCTGTACCCCAGTTCTTGTATGCATAATTAAATAAATCATTAAAAAATAAAATAAAAATTATCATTGATATGATACTATTATCTAATTTACAATATGATCACAAAAACATGATCATATTCACATTTTTCCAAAAGTCCCCCAAATATCCTTTATCTCAAAATAAAACAAACAAAAAAACTTTTCTCACCCAGGATCACACAATACATTTTCAATCGTCATGTCTTTGTATTCTCCTTTACACAGTGTATAGTCTTCCATGATTTTGACTTTTTGTGAAGAGCACAGGCCCATTATTATTATTTTTTTAAATATTTAAAAGAGCAGGTTTATTCGGGAAAGGGACAGACACAAGCTGGCAGGAAGAGCTGCCCGGAAAGGGACAGCTGAGAGAGGTTTGCTGAGAGAGGCCTGCGTGGTTGCAGGCGGGCGGCCTTGAGGAGAGCAGCCTCCGCTGAGGGAGGTCAGTGAGGAGAAGCCCCGGCAGGTGCAGGTCACGGGCAGGCAGGAGGCTGCTGCCCTGAGGAGGGAGAGAGCTGGTGAAAGGAAGCACCTGCGTAGGCACAAGTGGGCAGAAAGACAGCTGCCCACAGGCCCATTATTTTGTACACTGTGCTTCAGCCTCGGCCTGCCTGATTAGATCAAGAACGTGTATTTCAGGCAGGAGCACCCCGGAAGTGGGGGCGTTTTTCCTCAGTGTCCCGTACCAGAAGGCTTGTGGTAGTTTCTCTCATTACTGGCGATGCTCACTAGATCACTAGGTTAACGTGGTGTCTACCAGCTTTCTCCACTGTAAAGTTACTTTCTCCCATTGCAATGAATAAGCATTTTATATGGAGAGACATTGAGACTCTATAAATAATCCATTTCTCATCAAACTCTTGCTCACTAGTTATCGCTTCCATTCATGATTCTTGCCTGAAATAATCATTACTAAGGCAGATTGCTGAATGATCATTTTTCTGATTTCACGATTCCTTCTACATTGGAATTCTGCAATAAGGATAAGTTCTCTCCACTGTGTACTTATTTATATAAATACAGACTCATAGATTCTTATTCTCCCCATTTTTGTAATTATT